ACTATGGAACCCTTATAAGCTTTAGAGCTTGTGCCACCATGGCAGCAGCTGCCTGGGGCACTGGGGCTCTCAATGCTCTGCTACTCACTGCTAATGCATTTTCACTGCCTTTCTGCCATGGCAATGTTGTGAATCAGTTCTTCTGTGAAATCCCCCACATTCTCAAGCTCTCCTGCTCGAATTCTTATCTCAGGGAAGATGGTCTTGTAATGTTTAGTGCCTTATTTTTTTTCTCTTGTTTTATATTCATTGTTGTGTCCTATGTGCAGATTTTCAGGGCCGTGCTGAGGATGCCCTCTGAGCAGGGACGGCACAAAGCCTTCTCCATGTGCCTCCCTCACCTGGCTGTGGTCTCCTTGTTTCTCAGCACTGCCATGATTGCCTATTTGAAGCCCCCCTCCATCTCTTCCCCATCCCTGGACCTGGTGGTGTCATTTCTGTACTCAGTGGTACCTCCAGTAATGAACCCCCTCATCTACAGCATGAGGAACCAGGATCTCAAGGATGCTCTGTGGAAACTGATGAACAAATGTGTTTTGAAAACAATGAACTGCCCACATATTTATATTGAAGAGTTGCAATGCAGATTTTAATAGAATTAAACTGTCTTTTCTTAGTTTGTGAGTTCATTTTCTGATTGTTATTTATTGAATGTTTTATTCTGTGTTTTATGTATTCTTAAGTTTTTCACTGCAACTTCATTACGCCTATCCATTCCAATGCAGCTTATACCTATGTAGCGTAACCCAGGCACACTGTACATGAGGAACCAGGCTCCCTGTGAATCTTAACCAAACAAAGGGCATGCAATGACTTTGTCCATCTTCCTTCCTATGAAATATTTCTGGAGCTGCCGAGGCCAGCTGTTCTCAGAAACCCACAATCCAGCAGGAAGCATACGGCTGTTAATCCAACTGTGTGGTGACTTCAGCCTGCAATAGCTGACGGGCCATCCCTTGGCTCCTGGCTGGGGTCTGTGCTTGCAGGCTCACATCTGTCAGTGCCTCTGACAGGCCAGCAGCAGCACCTGGTGTATGGCAACTGTTGAGTCACGGCCTGAACCTCTGATTAACCACCTGAGGTGAGCCTTGAGTCAGCCAGAGGAGCACAGGTGAAGGCAATTCACCTGTGCTGCCGGAAGGGGTGGAGCCAGGCTCCACCCCTCCTGGACCTATTTAAGAGCTGGCTAGCAGAGGGGAAGGATCTCTTCTGGAGATCCTCCTCTTTTGGTATCTTCTAGTGAGCTCAACCCAAGGGTAAGCTCTTCTACTTATTCTCTTTTGCGATCCTTGTTTGCTTTTGCCTTACTCTTTTGATTATATTGCAATTATAACATCTTGGTTATACAACCTGGTTTGCACGGTAGTTCTGAGGTCCCCTCTTCCTCAGTCCCTGTGAGACCTTGTGTAACAAAATATCTTGGATATGGATTCTTGCTTCAGAGGCTTAAACGTTTCCCTGTAGTCTTCCTTCAGTGTTTCTTTCCATTTGCCACACAGAGGTAGGTGGGCACTGCCTCCAGGACTCCCTAGGGTAGCTGAAACATGCATGAGAGCCCAGGAAAGGTTTCCCAGGACTCTCAGGAGACTTTCTGGAGCATGAATTTGTAAGTAGGAAGTGCAAATATGGGGTAGTGCAGAGCTGCTGGGCAGGTGGTGCAGGTCCTCCTGCAGAGCTTTGTGTCCTTCTCCTTCCTGAGTAAGGTGCCACTTCCATCTCAGGAATGGAACAGCCAACATAGGTGAGACAGAAACTCTTCAAGAAAAGGCTCAGTGTTGCACTCAGA